GTCTCATTGCTATTTATCAATAAAATTATGAAAAAATAAAATAAAATAAATAAAAAAATTCACGAAGACATTCTTTCTGTGAGAACTTAATGCTGGGTCAACCACTCCTTACCATCTCGAGAGCATCCTGCAGAGTGCTGGAGAAACTATCATTTAGGTTTGTCAGATAGAGCTCTCCATCTCCTAAAACTAGAAATAAAAAAGTAAAAATTTCGAGAGAAAAAAATAATAACAAACTTAGTAAGCAACCTGACCAGAAAGCCACATTCAATCTTCTGCAACAGAAACACTAGCACAGTTCATGCACAAATAATCCACAAACTACTCAACTTTATGATTTTTTTTTTAAATGCAGTTTAAAACAGATGAGATTTTTCTTTCACCTATCAGCTTGTCAAAAAAAATTTTTTTTGAGACAAAGTCTCATATGCAATTCAGGCTGACCTTGGACTCACTATGTAGCCCAATCTGGCCTCAAACTTGTGGTGATCCTTGTGCCTCAGCCACCCGAGTACAGGGACTACAGGCATGCGCCACCCAGCACTGTCACACACTTTTAAAAATTGTACAAATAGCACTACAGCTATAAAGTTGAGAAGCTCACATTCTTATATATTGTTAATGTTATTTAAGCTAATTAAAAGCTGATTAATATTTCAGAAAGCATGTTGGTAGCATACTGGTATTTTTCAGGTGTTTAGTCTGATTCAGCAATCCCACATTCAGGCAGGTATTCTATGAGCTGTCAGGCAAGTGCATGAAGATACACACACACGCACAATTGCATGCCATCTGGAAACCCTAAAAGCCATCCAGAAGCCCCCCCTGCACCCCGGCACTGAGTACACAGACCATACAGCTGTTTTCAAAATGTGCACTGGTGAGTTTCCCAACAATATGTGCAGGAAGATTCTATTGTTAAAGCTAACCATACATCCTAGGAGTCAAGTGTCTACGCACACTTAAAGAAGACACTTGAAGAAGTGTCTTGAAGAAGACAAGAAGGTGCACCTCAAACTAGCACACTTGAAGAAGACTGGAAGGTATACCTCAAACTAGAAATAATATCAACCCTAGAGGGCAGGGCTATGAGGCACAGTCTACTTTCTAACACTAAGCCCAGGGCCTAGCAGATAGCTCAGCAGTCTAAGCACCTGCCTGGCAAATGCAAGAATCCAGGTTCAATCCCCAGCACTGCATGCCATGCCAGCCCTGTGCTGTGCCAGCCACCAAAACCAGGCGTGGTGGCACATGCCTGTAATCCCAGCGCAGGGGAGGCTGAGGCAGGAAGATCACTATGAGTCTGAGCTGTGTAGCAAGACCCTGCACCAAATAAATAAAGAAATAAAATTGGAAAAAAAATAATAAGCCCAAAGCTAATTAATAATGTACAGAGACCCCACTTTTTTCACTATACTACATTAAATCTTTGAAAGTAAGTAAAAATACCTTAAACAGAAAAATATCACTAAGGAAATTAGCATAATCTAACAGTGAAACCAAGTAATACAGGGTGACTCACACTTGGGAGCCAATCTTTGACCACAACTGAACACAATTTCCCCTTCCGAGATGGGCCTGTCCAGAGTCTCCGCGTCGGTGACAGTGATGCTCAAAGTGCTCTCGAGGGTGGATGAGCTGGAGCTGGGCATCTGCAAGCAGGCGGGGGTCTCGGAGCCCGCAGGCAACAGTGTGAAGGGAGCAGGGCCTGCAGGAGCTGGCTGAGCTGGGGAGTCCACACTCTCAGGTTCTTCGTCCTTTGCCACAGACATGATGCTGAGGAGATCAAGATGTAACAGAATTTGCTGTATCACTGATGGGCTCTATTTTTAGATAAAAAACAGATCCATGGGCTGGGGAGATAGTTCAGTGGCATAAGCGTCTGCCTGGCAAACACAAGGTCCTGAGTTCAATCCCCAGTACCACAAAGAAAAAAAAAAAAAAAACCAAGACCCAAAGGTCTCCTTTGGCAAAGTATTTCCATGATGTACACTACTGTAATTACCAAGATTCATTTTTCTGGAATTGTTCTTATGCATTAATCATAAGCCATCCTGATAGTTCTCCTAGCCAAAACACAAATCTACACAGATTAAAGTTAACTGATCATAGTAAATGATGATCCACACTAGTGAAAACTAATTTTCAATTTTAGTAACAATCTGATAAATGTCTTTGCTATT